AGAATAACATCCTTGAAATTTACTATGCAAATGCTCTTAATTTACGACAAATTGCTCCTTAAAACACAAGTATTAAATCTCTATTAGATTTGTTGAGGTGATATACTAATATGCACCACTAAGGTCTTAAATTTCTAAGTAGCAATGCTGTTTGTTAGATGCAAATAAGGATTACCTTAATTAAAATACACTATCCCCAGCTTCTCAGCAGATTTAGCTCAGTCTTTATATAGGACAGGTTCATTATCCACCTCAAGTTAATAAAAGTATGACCTACTGTGGTTATTTCTTTTAAAATTTAATTTTAATTACTATTTTGCTAATAGAAATAAAGCAAAAGAATTGTGAAGATGGTCCAAAAGCAATTCTGAAGCCTTAATTAAACTATCTTTTGAAAGCTTCAAAAAGAACTTAACACTTACATAGTTTGATACTTGATGGCCTTAACAATACAGAATTAGATACTAACTATAACAAAACAAAAAGTATTGAATGAAACATACTTTAGAACTATAGCACTTCTTAGTCTGCAACTTGAACTAATGATCCAACTTAAAAGGTGTAAACATAAGACTTTTAATTCAAAATTTTAACACTAGGCAAAGCTTCTTAACAAAGAAATGATTAGTCATTACACAGTGCCTTCACAATACATAAACCTTAAATGCACTCAGTTTTTGCATAAAACCATCATGGTTTAATCCAGATAATGGCAGATGTGTTCAGTTTGTCTTTGGATCCTTCGGGACCTGAATATAAAATTAAAAGGCTGGTAAGATGTAGAAAATTCAGTACCAGAGTTTTATTAGGCAGCTTCCTCTCCAATCTAAATTTCAAAGGTTTACACATATATTATTGATCTTATCTGTGAAAATATTGGTTCAGTAAGTAGCCTTTAAACATAACACAATCCATAGATTTTATTGAGATTCACTACTCATTGAAAAAGATAAGAATATGAGAAGCAGGGTATAACAAAGAGCAAGCTCCGGGCAAGAAACGCAGGCTTTGAGATATTCCAAATATATTTAGTAGCTCTTATATTAAAACCTTGCAGTGTAACGGTTCATGATGCAATGTGTATTTCTGTACCAGACTACTTGACTACTTCCAGTAAGTAAAATCCCTGAATTCATTAGAAATAATGAATTTTTTTTCTTACACATCTATTTAATAGAAAAGACATTTTCCCAGACACCACCCCCTACTCTGTCAAATTAATAATAATAATAATAATAATCCAGAATGCCATTCCATTTAGCATAAATTCACAGATTTAGGCTTTTAAACATTAGAATTCCAACTTCAAGAATTAAGGAAATTTGATGAATAGAAAACGTGACTAAAATGATAGAACACTGAAATTTTATAATTCTATATTAATTTAGCAGTGATATAAATTCACACCCTCAAATCTGGCCTAATTGAACTAGCTAAAGACGTTCTGTAAAAATAGAAGAATCCACCTTTTGGTAATTTTTTTTCATTCACCACACCGGAAATTGCCAATTTATAAGTGAGTTATTTTCCAAGAGTTTATTTATATGTCAGCTTTCTGAAATTTAAGGTATTACCCTAGAAGCAATAAATGGGGATTAAGTTTATCCATAAAAAATCTATAAAAAGTTGGGCCTCCCCTGGTGGCGCAGCGGTTGAGCATTGGGTTGTGAAGCTGCCCGCAGCCTCTGCAGCGCAGGTTTGATCCCCGGCTGCTCCCCGGCCACCGGAGGAGGGTCCCACATGGCGCCCGCTGCTCCCCTCAGCAGTGTATATCTCGTCAGTCTGCCTGCTCTGCTCTCCGCTCTGACTCTGGTGAATTCTCTCACCCTCCCGTGCTTCTGACTGTACCCGGTGCTTGTATAAATAAATAAATAAATCTTTTAAAAAAAATCTATAAAAGCTTAATTTCATCTTGGAAAGGCTGAAAGACTTGCAATGAAATATAGCAAAACGCAAAACTATTTCATTACCAGTAATTAAAGAAAATGGAAAGTTAAACTGAATAAAAGATATTTTATTATTTTTTAAATGCTCTAGAAATAATAGATTTAATTGGAAAAGAAAGTGAATGTAAATGAGACATTTGTGAGATTTCTGAAGGGGACTTCTGAGCTTTTACAAGGTCTTCCAAAGTTGTCAGCAATTCTGTATTAGGGTTTAAACACTCAACAGTATGTATTACTTGTCCAGGCAAGGTAAGTTTAAAAACAAGTCCTTCCCTTTTTTGCAGGAGTTGTCTAATACTAACTTTATTTTTATCAATTAAAATGAGTAATTTTTAGCTGATAATTGGAAAAAGAGCAATGGTAGAGAAAGCCATGGGATGATATTGGAGAGAAGGAATAGAGGGTTAAGTAAGAAGCATCTCAATGTAAGAAAATGATGACAAGGTCTGTTTGGTTGGCTGTGTGTATGTGTGCGTGAGAAACAGAGAAGATGGGTAGAACAGCTGACCCCTATCCTTCCATTTAAGTTAGTGTTTTAATCTTAGATGTTTCTTTTTTTTTTATTTATTTATGATTTATTTGCTTGCTTGTTTGTTTTGTTTATATATGCACTGGGTACAGTCAGAAGCGCGGGAGGGTGAGAGAATTCACCAGAGCCAGATCGGGGAGCAGAGCAGGCAGAAGGACCCAAGTACACTGCTGAGGGAAGCAGCGGGCGGCAGGAGAGGTCTGCGCGCCATGTGGGACCCTCCTCCGGTGGCCGGGGAGCAGCTGGGGATCGAACCGGCGCCACAGAGGCTGCGGGCAGCTTTGCAACCCAGCGCTCAACGGCTGCGCCACCGGGGAGGCCCGAATCTTAGATGTTTCTTTTGAAAGCAAAATGCGGCAAAGTAATGAATGATTCATGTGATCCCTTAAATACAAAATATAGTGGCTTATGTTTCTACACTAATAATCATTGAGAAGAGGCATAATAAATAAGTCTTAGAACAATTCAGAGTTTTTGCATAAAACCATAGTGTAACTCTATTATTATGAAACATTTTGATTGTATTTTAGCCCTGCAGGACCTAGGCATATTATTGAACTGATAATGTACTGCATAAAATTTCAGTACCAGAACAGAATTAGGCAAAGATCAAAAAATTAAAAAAAAAAAAAAAAGAAAACAACCTCAGAGGCTGTATTTCGCATTGGGACTCTCAGAATTTAGTTCTTCCCACAGGAGTCTGGACTTTTTTCAAGGGTTATCTTTGTTGGGAAAAGCTGAGTTAGACTCAGGAATAAGACTGAGGTTCCTTCAGACACCCCTTTTGTCCAGTAGAGTTACAAAGGATCTGGCTAATGTAGCAAAAGAGGATAAACAAATGTGGCATAAATCAGAAGGAAAGGCAGTATTATCATGCTTTGAAAATGATATTAAAAAATCTGAGAGAATCAAATACAATCTATTAAAATGAAACCTTTCAGAGGAATGGCAAAATATGAAAGCAATAGTTTTCACATATACTACAACAATCAGTTGGAAAATGTAATAGGAAAAAATGCTCCACTCATAATAGGAATTTAAAACAGAGAGAGATCATCCAAAAGAAAAATGGGCAAAGAATATTAACAAGCAATTAAGAGAAATATGCAAATAGCCAATTAACATATGAACAGATGTTCAAACTCAATAATAATCAAAAATATATAAATTAAAACAAGATACCATTTTCCCCTTATGAGAACTGAAATGATTAAAAACACGGGTAATACCCTATCTTGACATGAAATGTAGAGGAAAAAGACACTCTCTTACTCAGAATCCAGACAGGAAATATAGAGCACACTCAAATTGGGTAATTTGAAGAGCATTTAATAAGATTATTCATAAGGGTGTGGGCAGGGTGAAGGGACCCCACAAAGGGTAAGACAATCCCCAGGGCTGGGAGCAGAAAGACATTGCTGATCAGAGGCTCACCTACCAAAGGCTCACCTATGTTGGGTCCAAAGACAGCCAGTCCTCAACCCTAAGGGGGAGCAGGAGAAGCAGAATTTTCCTTCTTCCTTTTCATCCCTGCCAGTGGCCTTCATTACCCTGCCCTCCAATAAACCAGGAAGCAAGAGACCTGTACCCTCAGGGCAGCTTCTCAGAGCATAAAACAGAGAGAAGGGGAGAGGGCCTACCCAGAAGGGTAAAAGAAAATATACAGCTTGTAAGTGTTCAGGAATATATACATGGTAAAAACAAATTGGATGATAATTTCACAATATATATACAAATTTTAGTAATAGTATCTACTATATTTGTTGTTGTTTTTTTTTAAAGAAAAGTTACTGAGAGGGCCTCCCCGATGGTACAAGGTGTTAAGACGCAACCTATGAAGCTATCCATAGCCACTGCAGCACAAGTTTGATCCCCAGCCAGGGAGCAACCCACATGGTGCAGCAGACCTCTCCTGACTCACCCACTGCTCCTCTCAGCAGTGTATTTCAGTCAATGTGCCTGTTCTGTTCCCCACTCTGACTCTGGTGGATCCTCTCACCCCCCATACCTCTGGCCTGTACCCCAGTTCTTGTATGCATAAATAAATAAATCTTTAAGAAAAAAAGAAAAGTTACTGAGAAAGATCAAACCACCAGTAGTGGCTGTCCCTCAAGAGGGTTGGGACAGAAGTTCAAGACTGTATAGTCAGCCTGATCTGGGTTTGCATCCTGATTCTAGCTGCAATAAATATTCTTTTAATTACAAACAAAACAAGGAAAATCAAAGTGCAGGACAAAAATTTTGGACATTTCAGGTGGCAAATTTTTGTCAAGGCTCACATCACCACGTCATTGGGAAACCAAAATAGTTCTGCCTTTGAACTCAGACTTCACCATATTTCTCAGGTTCTCTCTCTCTCTCTCTCTCTCTCTCTCACTTGTCCTTCCCAGGGTCGACAATCTCTGCTCTCTCTGGTTGGCTTCATTCTGGCAACTGTAACTACAAATTTAATCTATCACCACAGATTATACTAAAATCATTCTTCAAACCTCTGGGTCAGAAACACCATGTCTGTGATACTTCAACTGAAATTACCGTAGGAAATGTCACTGGTTGGCATGCTGAGTGATAGCACCAACCATGGATGAATACATGGTAAGTAGGACATGATAGTGGCTCCTCTGCTGCTGATGTCCACACTGTGGCCAGCATGCAGGAACATTTTGATTGGCCCCCACCCCAACTACATGTTTGGGTTAGCGGAAACAAAATCTCCCCAAAAGAGAAATTATCTTCTGGACAATAATCTTGGGCAAATTACTGAACATCTATGAGCCTTGATTTCCTCATCTACAAGATGAAGGTGTTGGTACCTATATCAGAGGACTGTTGTGGGATTAACCCTAGGAGTTAATCTTATTCTTGCAGTCTTATTTCTTTTATCTTTTATTTCCATATTATTTTACTTTTTTTAAAGAAGAGGTATTACTTTTAATCATGAATTAAAAAATTGTTTCCATATTGAGAAGAGGTCCATGATATTGAGAAAGAATGAATTATTAAATATTTAAATTCATATTACTTTCATATTTACTATTTATAAAGTATCTACCACTAGCAATTGTTACAGTATGTCTTACATATACCATCATATTTAATCCTGACAAGGACTTCACGAAGTAGGTGTAATGCCTATTTTATTGATGAAACTGAAACTCAGAGAAGTAAACTAAATGACCTAAGGACAAAAGCCAGTAAATGATAGAGCTTCTATCAATATATAAACTCAGATTTGGATGAGAAATCTGCAAACTACCACCCATGGGTCAAATTCACTGTGTGTCCTCTTTTTCTATGACCCAAAAGCAAAGACTGGCTTTTCCACTGTTTAATTATTAAAACAAATGAAAGCGACTCTTTGTGACACATGAAAATTGCATGAAATTCAAATTTCAGTAAATTATGTTTTACTGGAATTCAGTTGTATCCATTCATTTTCATCTTCCTCTTAGCTGTTTTCGCACTATAGTGGCCAAGTGGAGCAGTTGGGACAGAGATCACGTGGCACGACCTCAAAGCCTAAAATATTACTAAGTGATTCTTTACTTGAGAAGTTCGCAGACCCTGGTCTAAATCCTTTTGGATTTATCTTTCAAGTACCTCTCTCTACCCTTCTAGATACAGCCTACACATTATCTACTGGAAGCTGCCATTAGGAAGTTTCTGGTAGCCCAAGTGACAGTATTGCATGAATAACTTCATCTTGGGGGACTGGAGAGAGAAGAGAGGTAAACCATGTCTGTAGTCTTAACCACCCTGAGTGTACCTGATCTCAAAAGCTAAGTTAGGTCAGGTCTAGTTAATACTTGGATGGGAAAGGAGGCAAAATATGCACCAGAGAAACCAAGTTAAAGGTCAAATAAAGACAAGCTTAAAGCTAACCTTTAAAAGGTGACTGTAGATCTGAAGCATGGGGAGCAGGGGAGACAGGAAAAAGAAAGAGGCCTGCACAATGGGCTATGGTGGGGGACTCTGGGTGATTTAGTAATGGGTGCACTATGGTGTTGATATCTGATTGTGGGGGGATCCCCCTAATGGTACGACAATTAAATAAAAAAATAAAGCACCAAATGATAGCATCTGGTGAGGACAGAGTTGGGGAAGGATGGTTCCTATGTAGCACAAGTAGTGACGATTCACAAAAATAAAATATTAGCTGAGTACCTGGACTCAGTATCACACATCACTCACAACATCTAGAGCAAACGTTTCATTAAAAAAATGTTGTATTACCTTTCAAACATATACGCTTCAAAAGCAACAAAAATAAAAGGGGAGGTGCTCTAATGAGATACTTATAATGAAAACTAGAAAACGGCATACGTTTATAAATATCAGCAGATTGCCTGCTCTTCACTATACATAAAAAAATATGGATTGTTGGGTTTAAAGCAACCACAGTGGGGGTTAGTGCATTCCTTGCTTCATTAACACAATCCTAGGAAAATAATTGTCTACTATTTTCTCAAAATCTCTGCAATCACATGTGGTCACACCTTTTCACATAACCATAAGACAAATGTTTCTGATGTAATCAGAACATCAACATTAAGAATCATTTTTAAACAGATATTAGTAACTCCATGACTTCTTTTATTCCATCATTAGTTTATTGTGTGGCCAGAAATATATGTGACTTTTACCTAGGCTCTAAGTTATTTATTTGTGGATTTAAGCTAATGAGAGATATTTTAAGAATTGGGCTTAGAAAGATTATGAATTCCCTCCTGGTCTCTGATTATAGATGTCAAGTAAGTACAAGTTTAAGATATTCTCTTGACAATAGATTTCAAGTAAATACAAGATATTCTCATCATTAGATCTTTTTCTCAAAGCAAAAATACGAGTGTCCCTAAAACAACTAAGGAGCCACTAGGGAGCCAGAGAAGTAGCATTAGGTGGAAAACAGAGCACACACTAACCACTGCTAGTTAGCAAGTTAACCACTGCTAGTTAGCAAGTTAACCACTGCTAGTTAGCTCTTAGCCTCTGTTTTCTCTACTTTTGAGTAGCTGTGTATATTATGTATATACTTTGTAAATTGCAAAATGCAATAATAAATGTGAACTTGCATCATATCCTCAATAACTACTCCTAGAATTTCAAAGATAACCAGTTTAGAAATAATATAGTCAGTCCAATTTTAAGCAGTTTCTGATGATGTCTTAGGGTTAAGAAATCATGACATATATTTCACATGCAATATTACAAGTAGGAATTAAATAGGAAAAGGTTGATGGGTTGAGAGAAATAGAGAACACCTTGTTTTAACTAACTCACATTTTCTTTGTCTCTCTGGGTTTGATAAAACTACAGTGAAGTCTTGATTGGAGATTGCATATTACCTGGCAGGTTAACCTTTCTACATATGGGATTTGGGTTCAAAAGCTGATGACAAAACCACCATGTGTCTAAAAACTGATCTTTTCAAATCTACCGTATAAGCAAGTGGAAACTGCGATGCCTGTTAATTAACCCCTGAATCCCATCAAGGTAATTGAAGCATAAACTTAAGATAAGATTTACATGGCAGACAAAGTAAAGAATTCCAGAGCACGATTCTCCCCACCCTATGCCCTCTGCCTATCTCAGTTTGACAAAAAGCGATTCCCCAGCCTTAACCCAGATTCGCTGGAAGGAGTAAAGTGAAATAAAATTAAAATGTCACACCTCACATATTGTCAAATATGCATTTTATAGATGTCTAGATTTACAGAATTTTCTTGTTCGCCTTGTGTGGTTGTGTGTGTGTGTGTGTGTGTGTGTGTGTGAGAAAGAATAAGCAGATTCCACTGTTGTCTTGTCTCATTTGGTTAAATGTTGTAGTATTAGGCCAATGATAAGCTATTCACTACATTTATTTCAAAATTATTTTAGTTATAGACAATGATCTGTTTGGTTTTGTTTAAAATCAGCTCCAGGATGATCCTTCTTATATTTCCATTAACTATGAAATTAAATAGAGGAGGCAATTTTTAAAAGAGAAATATTGCTTTTTGCCTGAAACCATAAGTGTTGAGTTTCTGCCTGCAGTGGGTTTTTTCAATTAAATTATAAACCATGGGTAATAGAGATTTATAATGGGAGTGCTGATACAATCTTAACTATAGGGAAACCATCCGACACGCTCTATGTAGTATATGGATGGATTATTTGCATTAAATTATCTTTAGGAAATGCAAACAAAACAAAGAAAAATGTAAAACTTGTCGCATTATTAGCATAAAATTAAATTCCTTGAATGCATAATTGTTTCATACCCAAAGCATTAACGGATTTTATTCTTAGAGTTCAAAGACCTCCTAATTAATATGCAAAATGGTCTCATTTTATAAGCAAGTTTGTTTTTTTTCCATCTCAGAAAAGAGACAGTTCTTTGCTGGAGGAAAATACTATGAAGTTTAGAAAACAGTAACTAATATTGATATAAAAGCCCACACATCCTTATAGCAAAAAAACAATAACAACTGCATGCTATTAGAATATTCATATTTCTGAAGTCTATGTATGACTATTTAACCAAATAATACCTGGCTTAGGAAGATTAAGTTTACGAGACATAAAAAGAAGGCATAGGATTTCTCTAGAAAGGTTCAACTGCTTGTATAATAATTTCTTAACTGTTAAAAAGAAATAAAACCCAACAGAAACAGAAATTCTGAACCTAGTAACACATAATTAAATCATGAAATTTCAGATCTAATTTTACAGAGCAAGTTCCTTCTAATTTACATGGCCCCAGTCACCAAGATTTGTAACCAAAAAAAAAGTTTAAATTGCACACTTCAAAAAAAAGTGGGGCCTCCCAGGTGGCGCAAGGGGTTAAGCACCGCACTATGAAGCAATCCGAAGTCTCTGCAATATGAGTTCGATCCCTGGCCGGCCAGGGAGCAACCCACATGGCGCAGCAGACCTCTCCTGTCTTGCTCGCTGCTCCCCTCAGCAGTGTATTTCAGTCAGTCTGCCTGTTCTGTTCCCCGCTCTGTCTCTGGTGAGTCCTCTCACCTCCTGCATCTCTGGCCTATACCCCAGCTCTTGTATGCATAAATAAATCTTTAAAAAAAAAAAGTGCACCAACAATGGTGATTCTCCAGAAATATTTTGTTTCTTATATTTATAAATAAATATCAGAATACTGTAATACTTTAGAAATGAGTTAGTGAGTTATTTTCATTAATAAATTTCTTTCCAGGGTAGACAGCACAGAGAACTAAATTTTATTCGGAATATTTTTTTTAACTCAAAAACCATTGCTTCATTTTAAAAAGTATTTAGAATACATAAAACAAGGCGACATTTATTCTTTGTTCTCATCTTCTGCTGTGGGATCTGTTGGTGGCTCCTCCTGGCAGCATTACCTTCCTCTCCCATGCTGACCTCCCCTTGTCCTCAGGAATAAACACACCTTCTTCACCATTTCGTTCACTTTGAGTCGTTTCTTCAATGTGTGTCTCCTCTGCCTCCATCGGCATATTCTCATCTTTCTGTTCTTCCATTTTGTTAGCTCCTTGCTCTTCCTCAGGAACCAGACAGCGTGCTCTGCTGCCTCTTTCCTCCTGACTTTTGCAAGCCTGTTCCTCTGCCTGTGAAATTTCAGCTACGATTTTTTCACATCATTTCTACTCTCAAACCACACAGCTTTTTCTACTCATTGTTAAATGAATCTGCTTTTCAGGAACTTCCTCTTCTTTTCCTGGTGTCCTCCTACTTGAAGAAGTTCAGTTTCCAGTTTTCACCAATGAACCATGAAGGACTGCACCTGATGTTTGTGGACCTGCATTCTAGCTGTTGTCACTATAGACTATCTGACACCTGGCACCACACTTGCACTGAGGATTTCACTGCTGAGGCGCCGATTTCTCTGGCAACAAGCAGTGACTTATATGCTTCACTGCAAAACCATCATCATCATCACCACCTGATCTTCAGCAGGCTGTAGCTCATGTAAGATCTCTCCTTCCTCCATGAGAGACAATCTCTGTCGGCTCTTCCTCTGAAGCAGCTTCTGCGTGACCTTTTGCACTTAAGCATGCAAGCTATGCAGGGGAATGATGACAGGCCTGCCTAGATACATTATACTCTGTTCTGCTTCGTATTCATTTAAATATTCTTGCTTTTCTTCATCAGTGAGATCTTGCCATGCCACCAATAATCTTGCCAATCTCCCACAACTTTAGGTCAGGGGTGGAAGCATTTGCTTGATCCCCAGACCTTTCTACTCCACCTCCCATAGGCTATCAGTGACCTATATGGTCTGGGGGGTTTGCGGATCATAGCACCAGCACAGGCCAGTACCCAGCTGTTGGTACCCAGGTTCCCTCCCAGTCTGTAGCTGTGAGATAGATTGTACTCCACAAACTCTGGTGTGCTAGGCATTTGTGTTGCAGGAACCAGGGTGGGAGGTGGGGCATAAGATGGTCTTTTTGACATTTTGGAAGATTAAGTTCTCAGTTCCTTAAGTACAAATCTGAGCCACTACAGGCAGAAAAGGCTCCCGCAGTTCTGGCCTCACTTCCTTTTATTCAGAATATTTATGTATTTTTAAACAATTTTTTCTCTCTGATGTTTTTGACACATTGCAAATCAAACTGTAACCACTACAATATTGTCATGTTTTAGAAAATGTGGGATTTTCTTTTGTCCAAGAAATAATGCTCCTACAAAAGAGATATGAGGTCTTAAAATACAGCGTAGTCCCAAATATGTCTCACGTCTGAACAGTGGCACATCAATTGGTAAGATTCAACCTCTAGTTATAACACCAGGTTCACTGCCAAGTTAGGAATAATATTCCCCAAATATGCAGTATTCATATGGCAAATACTAAGACTCTACTATGTGCCAAAGAGTGCGCTAGACCTCCTATACCTGCCACTGTCCCATTCAGCCTCATATTTACATTTCACATTTATATTTATGCATATTTATATTCACCAACTATAACTGCTAGAGCTAGCTTTGAGATTATTCCATCTAGCAGCATATTAAATCCTTAGAATGTTCAGGATTTAAATTCATGCCAAGCAGGATTCTTTTCAAAAACTCTTCTAAAGTTAGTGAAGATATAAGACCAACTTATTAAGTCTTAACATGTAATCAATAGTCAACAAGCAACTGAGAGTGAAGGAATGGTTAGTTCACCACATTAAAACATATTCCCATTGTTATTCAAAATTCATGAAAATCAAAAAAGTTTAAAGTAGAAGAATTACAGATTATATAGAGTTGGATATTTTGCAGTGAAGTTGATGTACTTTATACTCAGTGAGGCACATCTGAAACATATACTATAATAATGCAATGTTGCTTCGATTTAAAAAATCTATAAAATGTAGATAAAAAAAAAATTACCCTTTGAATGTGAATGTGGTCTACTTTTATTTTTACTGATTTTTTTTTTTTTTACTACTGATTTGCCTTGTCAATGGCAGGTTCTGCTACTATCTCATTAAATAAGTATACACAGATAAAACAATGACATTTATCATATGCCTTTTTATAAGGCATGTTCCAAAACTGACTTGATCATTTAAACTTGTTCAACTAGCACTTCAACATAATTGTTGAGACTAAAATTGCGTTAAAGACCCATATTTAACATCATACATAAAAATTACTCAAAATGGATTAAAGATTTGGACATAAGGACCAAAACCAAAAGTACTTGAGAGAAAATACAAGAGACACACTACAGACATCTACCACAAAGATGCATTTTGGAATACAACCCGATGGCAAGGGAAACAAAATCGAAAATAAACAAGTGGGACTATATCAAACTTAAAAGCTTTTGTACTTTAAAAGAAATCATCACAAAAACAAAAAGGCAAGCTACAGAATGAGAAAAAAATATTTGCATATCATACGTCGGACAGGGAGTTTACCTCCAAAATTTACAAAGTACTTACACAATCCAGCAACAAAGAAAAAAACAACCCAATTAAAATATGAGCAAAGATCTCAAAAGGCATTTCTCTGAAGAAGACCTTCAGATGGCCTACAGATATATTAAAAGATATTCAACACCACTTATTACAAGAGAAATGTAAATCAAAACCATACTGAGATACCACCTCACCCCTGTGAGAATGGCCCATATAAAAAAGAATGTAATTAACAAATGTTGGCAAGGTTAGGTGAAAGGGAACTCTCACCCAGTGTTGGTGGGAATGCAAGCTGGTACAGTCCCTGTGGAAAGAGGTATGGAAATTTCTCAAGAAAATAAAAAATGGAAATTCCAGCAATACCAATATTAGGTATTTATCCAATTAACATGAAAAATCAAATATAAAAAGATCTGTCTACATCTATGTACATAGTACTGTTTACAACTGCCAAATCATGGCACCAACCCATATGACTTTTAACGGATGAATAGAGAAACTGTGAAGCATATATTAAATGGAATATTACATAGCTGTGAAGAAAGATGAAATAGTAGCATTTGAGACAAAATGGACAGCTCTTGAGGTAATTATGTTGAGTGAAATCTGTCAAAAAGTGAAATCAGTCCAAAAATCAGTCAAAAAGTGAAATACTCATCTGCAGAAAATAAATACCCCCAAACCAATTACACACAAATAATATTAGAAATAAAAATTTAAACTCAGCATAAAGAAGAGAATTATTACCAGAGAGAATAAGGAAAAGGGTGGA